TTTTTTTACAAAAAAAAATAAAAATTTTTTTTTTCTATTTAAAAATTATCCACCTTCACCATCGGGTGTACCCACCCTGAGCTCTAATTACAGCACGAATTCATTCTGGCATCTAACGAACCCGCCTTCTGCAGGTTTCAACATCAATCGCCTGCCAGAACTCTTGAATCTTTTGCCAAAGATCTGTCTCACTCGAAATTTGTCCAGGGAGATGCCTCAACCGACAGTCGATTTCGTCCCACAGGTTTTCGATCGGGTTCAGATCAGAGGATTGGAGGAGCCAATCGAAGTACTTCACCTTGATTCTCCTAAGCAAACGTTTCGTCAAGATTGCCTTATGACAAGATGCTCCATCTTGTTGGAAAGTTACCTCCCTAACATCAAATTCTTGTTTTCTGATCGTCCACATTAGGTCTTCGCAAAGTATCTGCCGATACAAGTCGCCATCCATCGTGCCATCAACTTTACAATAGCTACCGACATCACGGGCGGAAAAACACCCCCCAAATCATAATTGAACCGCCGCCATATTTCACGGTGGGCTTGATATGGAACTGGTTTAATGGTTCTCCACGACGCTTCCAATAGTATTGCTTACCATCTGACCCAAAAATTTTGAACTGTGACCATCTGACCAGATTACCTTGGACCAATCCTCAACGGTCCAATTTTCGTATTTTTTTGCAAAAGCGAGCCGTTCTTTTCGATGACTGTCGCTTAGGTATGGTTTTTTTTTTTTACCCTCGATACTAACCCGTGGCTACGAAGTATGCGGCGAATTGTAAACACCGAAATATCCATATTTGCATTTTTTGCGAGGTAAGCCCTCACTTCAACGGCGGTGGAGCACTTACGGGAGGTAATGAGGTTCACTATCCTTCTTTGGGTTGGTTCGCCCAACTTTGTTGGGCGACCAACCCTTGCTAAATCTTCAAGCGAGCGGTTTGTTGACTAACTTTTTTTAATTCGCGAGACCGTAGAAAAAGAAATATTATGGGCCTGACCTACTGCCCTTGTCGTGTACTCTTTCTGGAGCGAGAGCAATACTTGGGCTCGTTTGGCAGGAGTTGTTCTGCTTTTCTTTTTTTTTCTTGATTATCAATCAATTCTAGCATCATACAAGATGCAAAATCAACAATGGGATTGACATTTTTATATTTATTTATGTTGCACAAATTGCGTGATCTGGTCTTTGTTAAAAACTAGCAAAAGTAATGCAACACGTGTTTTGTGATATACGCGTGATTATTTTTGCATCTGTATTAATGATGCCTACTAAAATTCTAAAATTAGAAAAAGGTACTATTAGTGAGTAAAATAAAAAAAAAATAAAAGGATACACCCAGAATTGCGGGAAATAATGCGATCTAAGTAAAAATTTTTTTTTGTTGCACTACTTATGATCGCCAGTGTATTTTAACATACTACGTAGTGGTAATTTAATTTCACAGCTGTTACTTAACGGTCCCACGGGTCCGCACGCATAATTTATGCATAAATTCCGTATCCCCGACGGCTTCTAGAGGCCGTCGGAGCATAAACTGAGTTCAAGATTTTTATATTTTATGATAATAACGAGCGATAAAACCTTGACCGGCTTTAATAATCAATGGCCTGCATTAAATTTTATGCGGTGTCACCCTCCTGCAGAATCATTTCTCACGGTCGATTTTTGATTTATAACGAATATTATGAATATCTAGAAAGCCTTTTCTTATTATATACGATCCCGCGATAAGAATGGGACTTAAAAAGGCTATAAGGGTAATGAGTATAGCGTTCTTTATCAGTAGTTTTATCCAAATTCATATGTTACTAGGACTTGGAATCTCCGCCATTCCCAGATCGTTAACTTTTTCACTTCGCAGGAGAGATCGTCGAATCTAAGGGGGTTTAATTTACCTAAAAAAAAACTACAAAATGGATTCAGTATTTGGGCTTATATCCGAAACGGAGTTCTTTGTTAAGTGTGATCTGGCATTGTGTTAGAGTAACGTAATTACTAAGCTTGTAATTTCTTTCTGGCAGGTTCTCTGGATCTAACGAACGTGAAGTATAAAATAAGCGATTTTTTTGTTTCTTATAGGGTGGGTTATAATAATATATTTTTTTTGTCAATACATATTTTTTGCCCGTTCATAATTTATTTTTAAAGTAATGTATTATACAATTTAATACTCTATAAAAACGAAACTTTATTGCGAAGCAATGAGGCTGTGCCTCTACTTACTATATTTTTTATTTAGAAACGTAAAATGTCCACTAACGATAATACTACCCCCACAACCAATGACACCACCCCCACGACTGACACCACCACCACTACCACCATTACCACCACCTATGACACTACCACTCCCATGACTAATAACCCGACGCCATCTAAACCAAAACCTACAGAAACTATTCTAATTAGTAAGAAAACTCTATCTATTTGTTTTGCCAACTTTACTAAAGCGATATTTTTCAGAATTAAGTTTTTTATTTCATTAATATTAGGAAAGCATGAAGAAATACGAAAAGATGGAACAAAGATAACTGATAGTGTAACTTTGAAAACAAAATCTAATGATGGTTCATTACTTCGAAAATTTCTAAACGAAAAATAAATATAATTTCTTTATTTGTATAATGTCAGTTCGGCAAAAAATAATTTTTTTTTTATTTGTATATTGTTGTTCCGGCAACATTTTTTTTATTTTTATTATAAAGGTTCTGGGCACTAAGTGTCATTATTTTGAAATATGATATTTTGGAGTGACTTACACTATGTGTTGCATGAAATAAAGAGGGTCCTGGCATGTTGTGCTATTATTACTTTACCTCTAAATTTATGCATATTCAATAAGGGCTAAAGAACGCACTTTTAATTCTTTTTTGTGCGGAGTAGTGGGGACTCCCATTTTAGCCTCGAAGTTTTTCTTGTGTTTTAGGAAATCCGCTTCGGGCATACTTTCTCGTTCTTCCTTCCAGTATTTGGCATTATCTCGGAATTCGAAGACGATATCGGCTTTTCATTTATCTAATATTTTCTTTGACATTTTAAACTTCTGTTGCAAAAGAAGAATAAGAGCATCAATATCCGATTCATTTCTGATAAGAATCTCTTTTTCAGGATCCGTTTCCGGTAAAGATTTGTTATTCTCACTTATCTTATCTTCTGAATTAGACGTATGGGACAATGGGAGAGAGGGAGTGGTCTCATGAAGTGGGGATGTTACCGCTTTTGAAGAATTAGTGACTTGAGTTATAGGAATAGAGATGCTTACCTCAGAAGATTTAGTCACGTGCGCGTTCTGTTTCAGAACGCCGATCTCTTTTTTGCAATTATTCTTATCGTCTAGGTTAGTCTGTTTTTTGGGAAAATGATTTATGATGTTTTGAATCTGATCATCTTTTAAACTTGAAATAGCATTTGCACTGTAAGTTATTTGCCTAATCTTATCTATTCCTATTCCATCAAATAACATATATACTTTTTTAGCTTTAAAACTTCTCTTACGCAAATTTACATCACTAATATTGGGAAGGAGCAATTTGATCTCATTGTATACCAAAGTTCTCGCTGATTGATCGTCAATTTTATTCTTGGATTTAATATCATTAACTCGATTTTCATACGCTTTAGTGTAACAATACCAACATAAATTCTCCTTTTGTCTAGTTTTCATCGCCGTATTAAACAAATCTACTATAATCTGAGCCGTAACTTCATCAGAACCTATTAATATTTTTTCTAGAGGAAGATCAGGAATTTGCACGTTTATTTCTTGTATGGTAAGATTTTCCTTAACACAGACAGATAACTCATGCATTAGGCCTCGTTCTACTTTCTGATCATAAGGAATCTTTATTTCGGGAGAAATAGTATTGTGTGTTTGATCAATGGACATTTGCTCCGATTCAGCAGATGTTTTTTGTATCGATTCTTTATCTTGAAATTTCTTTTCTCTATTTCTCTCTCTCATCATATTACTAACTATTTCCTTGTTTTGCAAATTCAGAAAATCATCAACCGCCTTATCTTCTAACGATTTAGGCTTCATATAGATAGGTAATGTGAAGCATTGATTCTTCGACTCCTGGCATATATATCCGGATTAGATGCGTCATCAGATGTATTTTCTACCTGTTTAGGAGTATTGTTAGAATTTATTTCAGGGGAAATATCACTTTGTACCTGCTCTAGATTTAAAGAGTCGGTGCTACCATTCTCATCAGAGTGACCATTAATATGTGATGGAATAGGTAATTGTGAAGCATCATTAGTAGTCCGATTTTGTTTTATGATTTGTTTTAGTCTTGTATTTTCGATCCTAAGATTAGCAATTTCTTCGATGATCTGTTTTAGTTTGGTATTTTCAGTTTCAAGTTTGGTAACTCGTTGTCTCAATAATTCAAGCTCTGATGACATGATTGATTAAAATTTTTATATAAGGCATAGATTTATTCAAAATAAAAAAATCACGTGCGCGTTCCATTTCGGAACGCGAACCACTTTGCCAAGAAAAATTTTCGATCATATGCGAGTAATGTACATCGATAATAATATAATAAAATAAATTCACGAAATATACACGCAAAAGTAAACTGATTATGTATGCGAAATTGAGCCACCAGGGCAGCTTTATTGATATAAAAAATAAAAATACAGAATAACGAACATTATCGCAACTATTTACGGTATATAGAAATTAAATTGTAATGACACATTGTGGAATGTTTAAAATTCTTTATTTATTGTTTATCGACCTCGATTGTTAAAAATACCCATGATCATTTTTCGCGTTTTGTTCTAGCATATGAAACTTAACACATCACAAAAATGATGATTTATTGACAAAGAATTCTCAAAGCCCAATTTATGTTTGATTTATAGTTTAAAAAAAATCACTTGTTTTCTACCTATTGAATAAAAGTCTAAAGAATGAAGATCTTATATGATCTCTTTAGCTTTGTATACATTCAGCATTAAAGTTTCATTACTTTTTTTATCGAAGAATTCTTCGCATACTCATTATAAACCCAGGAAGAATTTGTGAAGTAACCGTTTGAGGATTAACAAACTCTTGCCAAACAACACTGCTAGTATCGGCATCAAAGCTATAGATCCTCACTGTAGGCGGATTTGCAATCGGATCGATAGACATTCCTTCCTAGAAGAATAGAATAATTAATAACAGAAAATAAATAATATATAGGATCGATACCAGTATACTTACCTCAACTCCTGCATTAATCCATAGCAACATTTTCCTATGAACATACTGAGGTGAATTGCTCACTGAACGCAATTCGACAACGAAGTTTGGTGCAACTGGTGGAAATGATTGCCGCCGGTTACTAATTGACAGATCATTCCATCTACAATAATAAAATGGAAATTAAAAAGTATTGGTGCATAATACGCAAATCATACTGCAATAAATAACGTTTAAAAACCTGGTTCTAAGTACAACAGAAGCTTCGGGGCCTAGAATACTACCGTCACGTAATGTATAGGCACCCTAGAATATACCGTATATTAGCAACATGAAAAAAGACTGCCAACTTGATGTTCGCATAACATACCTGGGAACCACCATGGTGTCCAACCAAATCCTCGTTTGCAAGACACCAATTGACAACTTCGGCAATAATGATCGATTCTCTTTGATCTAACATTTTTTTTATTCACGAATTAGTAACATTTCAATTAGATAAAACTAAGTAGTGGGTTAGCAAGTTAGATACCGGTTTCGTTATGAACTGGGTTTGGAGGCATTATTTCAAGCTGACCTTGGATAAGATTCATTCGATAAAAGGAATGAGGATTTGCTAATGCAGTTTTTTCAAAAAGAACGTGATCACAATCAGGAATAATTAAATGCGGGATGTAGGAAGCCATTTGAAAAGTTCCAAATTTATTATGGGGCTGTATAGTAGATTTTTCCACCTGGAAAAAAGATATAATATATAAGTGCAATTACGCAGATTTTGCCCTATATAAGCTATGAAAGTTTCAATATAAAAATCATTTGTTATAGGGCGAAATATATAAAATTACTTTACTTCCTAGTTTATCGAATAAACATACCGATGTTAATATCTCTTGTTGATTTTTTCGTCGACTTGAAACAAATGTGCTTTAATATTAAAAGAAATTCCGTTAGGCTAAAAAACTACTTTCTTAAAACATCATATAAACACCATTATTCGTACTTAGAAGTTAGAAGTAAGAATACTTGATACCAAAGCCAAAGAGGTCCAAGTACACTACAAAATATGAAAATAACAGAAGGCGCAAGAAGAAGCGCAAACAACAAAAGAAAAGAATTTAGGATAAAATAAAAAATTTTTTGCAAAAACATTGGTTATCATGACTTTCTAATTTATTCTGACACATGCGTGACATCGATTGTCACAGTGGTGCAGTAATCATGTGAACGTGACCTCCAAAGGTCACAGGCACGCAACTTATACTAACGATAATTAATTGTTAACTCACATTCACATCGCTTATATATTCCATTCGCTACTTTTTTACATATCCTACAATATAGGTGTGAATGATGATCGCATTCGTCACAAACCTTACACCCGTGATTCCATCCTCTAAAGATGTGCCACTTTTCGATGTAATTTCGATTTTTTTTATTTGTTAATACGTTACTCTTATCTTTCATTGTTATATATTAGCCGAAAAAAATATATACGTGTTCTAAA